GAATGTTTTAAGAAAGTCGTTGAAAAATTCCCAGATCTCGGAATTAAAAATTTTCTATAGAAACTGATCTTAAAATCACCAAAATGTTGATAAGTCGCCAAATTTAGAACCGTTTAATAAAAGAATTCACATCCACAAAAGTGAAAAGTTGGTTAAGTAGAAAAAATGAATACTTCATTAGAAAAAGAAAAAAAAAAAAAAAAAAAAAATTGAAATGCTTATGTTTCACTTCTTGCTCAGAAACTCAAGTATCCCACCATTTATATTACAAATAGGAACAAATTATAACTCATGAACCCATTCAAAATATAACAATATTTGCCAGTGAATTGCCAAAAATATTCCTCCAAAATGCTAATTCACACTCGAAATGGCAGTCGTAAAAACAGAAAGAAATTTCAAATGATTAAAATTGGGGACATTTCTGCCGATTTTGGCCGAAATTGAAGACTTTTAGGGCCAAAAGTTGATTCCAAAAAACCTAAGGGCTTTTAAGGACCGTACGAACCCTGTTTTAGTAGTAAATATTGGCTTCTGGCAAACGAAACAAACACAGTGCTAGTTTGAAATTCAAATTCTTCAATTAGTAAAAGTAATTGCAAACTGTGCTGTAGCAAGGATATTTGGTGTTGGTGAAAGCTCCATACATAAGGGGAAGAAAAATGAAATCACAATAACAAATATGGCAAAGAATAAATGCACTTTACATAAAGGAGTTACAAAATGGCTTATCCTAGGAGAATGTGAAAGTGGCCTATCCTAGAAGAACATGTTGCAAATTTTGTCCTAGAAATTTGTCAGGATGGATTAACTGTAACAAGAAACAATGTACGTTTATTTGCCTTAAAGTGGGCAAAAAGGAATGAAAGTGAAAACTTTAAGGCAACTTTGAGTTGGTATAGTCGATTTAAGACGTGGAATAATTTAGTTCTATAATAAAAAAACAAAAGTTTTGCTAAGGCTTCCGAAACAGCTGACAACAAAATAAGTTTTCAGAAATATAATATTGACCTATTAAGGTTTAAAAAAATATTTACTGTCACATATTGGAAATATGAATGAAACTCCAGTAATGTTTAATATGACAGGAATAAAACAACTGATGTGAAAGAAACAAAAACAACAGGTTACAAAAAATCTCACCTTACTGTAGCACTTTCCTGCTTAGCAGACAGCACAAAATTAAAAACCATGGTTATTTCTAAAAGGAAAACTATGCTGAAATGTGATTTTTCAAATGGTGTTTTCATTCATGCTCATGAGAAAGGATGGATGGATGAAAACAGACTGAAACTGTGGAGAAAAAATGTTTGGCGAAAGAAAACATACTGTTGCCCTAAAGAAACAAGAAAGCCTTCCAGTTTAGGACAGGTTATATCCCATCTACTGTATAATACAAAGAATTGGTTAAAAGAGTGTAATACAGACATGACAGTTATTCTAGGTGTATTAACCATTAGTTCAGGCTTTAAATATATATGTATCAACAAACGATTCGAAGAAAATTTGAAACAACAGTGGAATATGTGGATGTTAGAAGATGGTAAAACATATAAAAAATACGGAATTAAATTAAACTTGGCATAATTGAAAAGTTCATTTAAAAAATGTAGTACATCTAACAATCTAGGAACAGAAAATTATTATTTATTTAAGGATCAGAGTAACAGTAATGTTGGCGATCAAACAGAATTTGATGATATGCCTGAAGATATAATGGAAGATGAATATGGATAACTTTCATGTTATTTGAAAATGAACATTTTTAAGTTTATAAAATGTCATTTCTCTTAAATAAACAGCAGTTAGGTACATGTAGAAATCTAATTTTTGTGTGCTTATCTTTTTTTAAATCTTTCATTTTTATATCCAGCATATATTACACGCACATGTAAATTTCAATTTAATTTTTTGTATTAATATATATAGTATATAAACTTGAAGCATCTAAAGTTTAAATTAAATTAGAATCAAAGTAAGGCAATTCCTCAACACTATTAATAATTGCAACCGTGTATAAGAGGTTTAACACAATATCTAAATAAATCAAAATAAAATAAGAATTCATAGTGGAACAAACTCAAAAAAGAAGGTGTGAAAGAGAAAATATACAAAATTATAAAAATTAATCCCCTTATGAAGACCAAACTGCATTCCTTTCAAAAAGCAGAATTCAAAGCTGCTCTGCTAAGAAGCAAAAATTCTGTAGTTCTTGGAAAAAAAAACTACAAAAGTTTTGCTCCTCCAAAGCAGCTTTGAATTCTACTTTGTTTTGCAAGGCACACAGTTCACATTCAAAGGAACGTCTTTATAATACAGTAAGATTAGGTTAAGATGGTGATCTTAAGAATTCAGTAAGTTAACATTTTTTCTATTTTTGTTTCAAATTGGTTTCCAATTTTTAGCTGTTTAAGGCTCAGATTAGATTTTGTTATTTATAAAAATCGCTAATGATGAGTTTTTCGTTTTCTTGGTACTAAAAGTTTAGTTTCCAATTTTTTAATGCTGCTTAAATGACAATTTGAATAAATGCATATTTGTGTTGCTCTTTATTTGTAATTGTTTTTTAATTTCAGATTTGTGTATACTTTTTTTTTTTTGAAAGGTCAATTTGCATAGTGTCATGTTAGTAAGTGCTACACGTTTGAATTCAGGAATGTTCGAGAGCCGCATTTAGATTTTCTAAAAGCCATAAGTTCATATTTACATCATTATAGAAGTAGTGAAGGAGGTTTTAAATAGAAAGAAATCCCTGATAATGTTGTAAAAAGAGTCTAAACTAATTAATTACAGTACAAAGTCTTTAAATCGTACTCATCAGAACTTCGGCGATTCCGGATTATAGATCATCAATTTAAATCTGGTAAGATGGCATGCAGAAATTATAAAATAAAAAATATGAAACCATAATTTATGAAAAAAAGAGCAATTGTGATCTAAAGGGTATCAAAATTTACAAAAAAAAAGCTTAATATTTATTTGTTTACTTTATTAAACATTTCTTTCAATGTAAGTTGTTTAAGGTGCTTCGTTTTATGTGCTAATACTTTCTCTTTAATTCTATAAACAGACATAATTTCTTGTTCAGTTACAAAGTTTCGCTGTTAAAGTCCTGTAATTGCTGTGCCGAGAATACCGACTAACTTGTCAATCAAAATTTTTTCGTTTTCACTAACCTCTCTGTCACTTTCTTCATGCCTTTATCCCATTTTTTGCAGCAATTCCACTTTTCGTTTAAATGTACATCGGAAATACATGTTTTCGCTTTGTAGATCCTTTTGGCAGCTCCAGAATTGGAAAACTCTTTTTCGATATAATCAAAAAGTTCAGGCTTTAATTTTTTATAACAATTGCTGTAATAATAACAGTCTGCAAAAAATAATAAGCCGGATCCAATTAGAAGATTAAGGAACAACACAATCTGAAACATTAACTGAAATAGATAATTAGATAATTTTAGCCTAACTTATACCATCCGTTATACATTAAACGCGCATGCGTAAACACATACGCATATGTAAAGGTTTTATGCGCATGCGTAAACGCTACGCATGCGCAGAAAGTTTGTAGCTTTGAGGTCCGGATTAAAGACTTTGTACTGTACTTCTTTTCGGACACTGAATAGTTTTAGTTTACTATATTTCATACATACATTTTATATCCATAAGCCGCACAAATTGCCTGCGAAAGCCATATCAGTTTTATAGTTTATTTGAATAGTCAGTGTGGCACAATGTTATGTTTTATTATTTTCTAAGTGTTTCAAAAGTGTGCAGGGAAAATTCTGGTACATTTGGGATTCGATTTTTTGGTTTTATATGATTTTTGATGTTTTAAATGAAAATTTAATTGAATCTTTTTTTTGGTTTTTGATCTGAAATGAACCAGGAGAACGAAACATGTTTTCAAAACATATTAATTGACTTTTATGAAGCTTTAATTACTCTTTTTTTTGGTTTTTGATCTGAAATGAACCAGGAGAACGAAACATGTTTTCAAAACATATTAATCAACTTTTATGAAGCTTTAATTAATGTTCCCCTGATGAGTTCAGAATTGGAGTTTCAGTAAAAGGAGATTAATTTTTATATTTTTGTATATTTTCACTTTTTGCACCTTTTTTTTTTTTTTCAAGTTTGTTTTACCATGAATTCTTATTTTATTTTAATTTTGATTTGTTTAGATAGTGTAATAAACTCTTATACACGGCTGCAATTATTAATATTGTTGAGGAATTGCCTTGCTTTGATTCCAGTTTAATTTTAACTTTAGATGCTTTAAGTTTATTTTACTTCAATCCTGCAGCAATAGCACAAGACGAGTTTAAAAAAATTTTGCTTTTAATTTTTAGCCTATTACGGTGTTTCTTTTTGTGTGGTTGTGTAAGATATAATAAACTGCAATGGCTGCTTTAAGAAATAATTGGCGACCTCAAAATTAACTATTCTAGATTTGGTGCTCTCCCCCTAAGTTCATCCTTTCTCCCAAATTACATAACACTGCTTGAAAAAGGTACTAAAGTATAATTAATCAATGACAGCTTAGATTCACATATGCACCTATGCAGTATAAATACGGCTTGCAAGGAACTACATTCCTCTTTTCCCTCGACTTCTGCCATGCAAACATCTCCATGCTGCTTATGCTTTCCTGCTCACATCGTACTTTTAAAATCAGTCTATATAAAAATTTATTATATTCAATGATGATTGAAATATAATTTGTTTGCCAAAGAGATGATTTGAAATGCATAAAAATAAAGATGGTGATTCTTCAATTCAGTTTTGTTATCTGCTTCATCAAGACTGAATTGCTTTTATGCATTAAAATATTACATATTGTATGACAGAATATACAATAATTCTATTACTCCTTTTAACTCAATAAATAACTCTTATCTATTGAATTCTTATTTATACCTATTTAATTTTTATTGTAATTATTTATATAATTAAAATTATTTATAAACAATTTGAACTAACAAACATTATACACTGAAATACAGACTTAAAATTTATTAGAAAATTTTCTATACAAAATATAAGCATTGCCATCACTATTACAGGAATTGTTATCTACGAATTACAGACCTATTTAATTTGTATTCTAATCATTTACATAATTATAATTAATTATATAAACAATTTGAACTAAGAAATAAACATTATACATTGAAATATAGACTTAAAATTTATTAGAAAATTTTCTATGCAAAATATAAGCATTGCCATCACTATTACAGGAATTGTTATCTACGAATTACAGAAGACGCAGCTTGTACAAATGCTGAATTATGAGATCCATCACAAAAAGGTCTGTTCTTTGTTTGTTTGCAGTTACAAAACCAATACTCTCTTGTCTGCTTTGGTTTAAATAAAACTGGCTTCAGTTTAATTTTCATTTCTGGAAATTTGCATCTTCCATCACATAATGGCTATAAAATAAAACAATTCATTAGTCTACAGTTTATTACTTTTAACTTCTCTTTTTTACAAGTAATCTTAATTGAAACAAAATATAATAAAGAAGAAGGAAATCTCTTATATGTATTGCACTATCCACTAGTGGCCAAGCTGATAAAATCACTTAACTGATAGTTTTGAAAAAGGATCAGATTTAATCGAACAGGCTGGCTGCATGGTTTCACCATGCGTAATGCAAATATGAAGCAGTTTCTCATGAAATGCCCACACAAAGAAAGACCTCTTATTTGCAGGCTTCTAGTCCTGTTTTGATGTGCAGTAATGTAATAAATTCAGGCCCCAATTGAAGTAATTATGTATTAGTCCCACAATGAATACCAACCAATTCTCCAAATTTAATAATATTAAAATGGGTTATGGTTCTCATTAAAATTACATTAGTTAAGTTAGATCCTGAATTCCACTATACTGTATTTACTAGAAAGTAAAATCCTTCCTTGTTTTTGCTATATTTTTGTTCTAAAATTTTATAGGGTTTAGTAATCAGGTAATCTGACAAATAAAATTGCACAATGAGAGAAAAGAATTTGACAATCATACTATATGGAATAATTGCTCAGGTATATACATACAAACTACATAACTACTACTACTTATAATAGCTGTGTCCAGTTAAGTAATTTCCACTACCAACATTAAATTAAACAAATGATTTGCTTCAAAATTAATTTAGAAATCTCTAGACACAAAAAACATGTTAAAAGCAGTTTAAAAAATATAATAAAATGTTACATAATCTATGAATTAAGTCCAATTTTGAAGATAAATTTGTAAAGTTCTTGTGGTGGCTTTAAGATCACATAAGAAATTTTAGTCTTGTGAAAGTCTTTAGAGTATGTAATCAATATAAAATCAAGATATTCGTTTCAGACATACATGAATTTTCATTATGCACCTATGTTAATATTTGTTTATTTATTATAAAACACACACAAGCTTATTGAAGAGCAATGTAAGAATTAACACAGAAAACTAACAAATACAACAGAATAGAATAATAAAGTAAACTAACTGTGATTAAAAAAAAGAGAGAGATAGAAAAAGATGTAGCAAATGTTGATGGAGTTAAAGTATTCTATATTGAAGAGGAAGGATTCGGATTGCATAGTATGCTAATCCATAGTGAATAGGAAACTTGACAGTCAATTTTATTTAAATTCACATTTGTGGCAACAGTTTGCTTGGATCTCTAATGGTGCCTAATTCAGAACATTTACATTTTTGAATACTACTGCGATAGGAAGAGGGCATAGCATAATGGCATCCAAGCAGCACAGAGGATAAGCTAAAAGCCAATATAGCAGTTTGTTAAGAGAAGGGTTTTAGTTTGAGTCCTAAGTACGAGTGGAAAATTTATTCGACTACCTCATGTATATTTAGAAGTAAGAAAAAGAATTATCATGCTTCTGCAGTGGTGTTTGACAAGTGCTTCAAAAAAATAATCATACGTAGCATTTACAGTAATCTCCTGAGATATCCAAAAGTTTGACTGTCTAATGAAAAGGAACATTGAATTTTCTTCAGCCATCTCTACAATATTTAGAAGGGGGGAAGCATTTTAAATCATCAGTGAATTCATGCTTAGGAGATTCTGCATTACAGCTGGTTCAAGGTCTTCGATCTGTGTTTAATGTTCTTCAAGTACGTGTGGCAGAAAATTATTCATGCTTCTGCTTTTCTAATAGCACTCCATCAATCGAAAGCTAAAAAATTATTACCTTTATGTGAATTAAACTTGAATTATTTAATATGCAGATTCATTTGCATTTAAATTTTGCTTAAAGTTTCTGCAATTTGATTGCACTGTTTTGCAAAAGTATGAAATTATGGTATCAAAATATTTAACATGGTGTGATTATACGTGATAAAATTATGTAATGAATTTTAAGATTTTTTTAACTACTTTTAGAAAAGGTTATTAAGTAATTAAGTATATTTTTGAATTTATGCTGAAAACTTCAGACTGTTGATAAGAATTTTACGTGAATGAAATAATTTTCAAAAATTAGTATCGAGCATAATAAAATAGTCTTTTTGAGTATTACTATAGAAAATAGTAAATGTTTTGGCATGTAATAGCATAAAAATACGAGTCATTCAAAAAACTGAATAATTATCATTGGTACGGAATTATGTTGACTAAATTTAAAATTTACAGATCATTATATTTTCAGATAAACTTCGAAGGCACCCAATTTTTTTATATTATTATTTTTTTAATATAATGGCATGTGGTTATTTTTTTGGAGGGGTTGTTATAGTGCAGTTCAAAAAGGCCAGTTGAACAAGGAGGCCTTTATAAGTAACTGCCTCGAGCATCCTTTAACCATTAGTGAAATTCATACACTAATTTGCTAATGCAGATTTGTCTAATTGATGGAAATGTTTGTATCAAGAGAACACTGTGGAGCCTTCCAGTTTGTATAAAACAAGTAAATTAGAAATGCCAATAACAACAGAAAGAATAAATTTGCTAATATTATTTCAAATGTTTCGAAAGAAAAATTATAATTATGTTATAATATTTTGAAATTTTGTGTGGTTTTGCAACATCAATAATAGATGTATATAAAATTGTTTATATTTGAAAAGTTTTAAGAGCATTCTCTAAATGGATATAATTATGAAGTTTATTTATTCTTCACTTTGTTTTTTTGTTTAGTTAGGCCTTACACCTTGGTTCAATTAATTATGAAACTTCAACAATATTTTATACTGCTTCCCTTGTGAAGAGGCAGGGTGCTGCAGTGCCAAGTTTGAGAACCACTGATCTAGAATGTGTTGGGTGGTACATGAAAACTTGCTTATGCCAAGTTATAAAAGAGAAATATTAAACCAAGTATTTATACAGCCTTATGTGTATGAGATTCACATTAAACAACATGCATTGGAACTCAGTCAAAATGAATTTGGATGTTTAAACTTGATGCATTAACCTTCAACTACTGTGCCGAATTTCAAGCTGCTTTTTTGCTTATTATTCCTATTAAAACTGTATTCTTTGCATATTTAAGTGTCATATTTAGTTATTTCATTCCTGGCTTCAATAATACCAACATCTGGTCACAGTTAGTTTTAATATAGAAATTTATTTTATAGGTTTTTTTTTTAATGTTTTTTTGTTTTTTAAACTGATATGAACAAATCTGCCTGAGGTATAAAAAAATTAAGAAACATATCTCTTTTAAAAAATGATGGCTGAATTTTATTGTCTAAATGTAAAATTTAAGTGTATCCTAATTTCAGTGTCAAAAAAAGAAAAAGTTTTATTGTTAACCATTTACAGATTTTAGACAGAGTGTACAGAACCTTATATCACTATTAATGTCAGGTTATACAGTGAGTATAAATGAAGGGTTAAATTATATTTGATTATAGCATGTATTAAACATGAAACTAACAGCTGCTTTGGTTTTATATTTACATTTATATACAAACACAATACATAAAGTTGAAAAAACATTAAAAAAGAATCTTACTTGATCATGACTCCACCCACATATGCACCAATAATACAGTTTCCCTTTCTCACATTTGATTTTAAATGGCTTCTTATCATGAACCCGACCTTTATCTGGTTGGTAATAAGCTTCATAGAATTTTTTTAAAGGAGGTTCATTCAATTCTGGAATATCAGACACATCTGCTCTTTTTCGACTAGAATACTGGCACAAAATCTAGAAAGTATTTTTTTGCTTTTAGTTGAAACTCAATAGATATGTTATTATTACAGTAATATACATACAGTCAAAAGTCGTTAATACGGACTCGTGGGGACTTCGGCGATTCCGGATTATAGATCATCAGTTTAAATCTGATAAGATGGCATGCAGAATATATAAAATTAAAAATATGAAACCATACTTTATGAAATAAAGAACAATTATGATCTAAAGGGTATCAAAATTTACAAAAAAAAAAAAAAAAAAAAAAAAAAAAAAAAAAAAAAACTTAATATTTATTTGTTTACTTTATCAAACATTTCTTTCAATGTAAGTTGTTTAAGTTGCTTCGTTTTTTTATGCAATAATACATTCTCTTTCTATAAACAGACATAATTTCTTGTTCAGTTACAAAGTTCCGCTGTTCAAGTCCTATAATTGCTTTGTCAAGAATACCGACTAATTTGTCAATGGAAATTTTTTCGTTTTCAATAACCTCTGTCACTTTCTTCGCTATCGGAAGCGAATTATAATGATGAGGAATTTGATTTAAAGATCAAAGACGGAGTACATCGAGATGAAATGCTACATTTAGTAAGGAATTATAAGCCAAAAAAAATAAAAACATCTGCCCTGAAAGATCAACTTCCAATTCATTGTGCGCCGCAGCGTTAAAGATAAACAAAGTTTAGATAAACAAAGGATATGCCTTTATCCATTTTTTGCAGTAATTCCACTTTTTATTTAATGGACTTCGAAACATACTTTCGCTTTGTAGATCCTTTACATATTAGTAAATATATATCAGAAATTCTATTTGACATAATCAAAAGTTCAAGCTTACTTTTATAAAATTGCTCTAACAGTCTGCAAAAATTAATAAGCCGAATCCAATTCAAAGATTAAGGAACAATGCAATCTGCAACATTAACTGAATTACATAATTTTAGCTTAGCCTATACCGTCCGTTATACATTAAATGCGCATTCGTAAACGTATTTTGCGAATGCGCACATGCATATTCGCAGCCGTAAAGGTTTCAAAGTAAGCCGTAAAGGTCAACACGACGCACGCGCAGAAAGTTTGTAGCTTTGAGGTCCGGATTATGGGTGTCCGAATTAATGACTTTTGACTGTACTAATTAGTAAAATTTAAAATGAAACTTTTATGTAACTTTGTGAATATTTTAATTAATTAATTAGATAAACTTAAAAAACAACTATTAATAATATAATACAGTATGCTGCAAAGTACAATAACTGCAACTTTAGCTTAAAACAGGAGTACATAACAGTTCATATGTATATTCATGTTAATTTTTTTCTCTCTCTCTCTTAAATACTACCAGATTTTTACTGCGTGCTTATTTTACTTATGATCTGAGGGGTTAATTTCTTTCAAGGCAAAGTAACCATCCCCCCCCCAAAGCTATTGTAGAACAAGGCAATTTTGATGACTGGGAGGGGATATTTTGAAGCTTATGATTTCAAATAATTAATATGCTCACTTCTTTTCCCTTGGTTGCTCTACTGTTTCAATGACATCATCCAACTGACCTCACAGTTTCTACCAATATTAGTTTTCTGTGAAGGCAGTGGCTTGAAAGAAGATGATTACTGGTGATGCTCAATACCAGTGATCATTAATGCTCTCAAAATACTGTCCGCTTTTAGAAGCAGTCACTATGTTATGTTTCACCGTATTTATTACTGAAATACAGTTGAATTTTAAGAAACTGAACATTTGTTTTGTTATATCGAATCTGATAAGGGGGGGGAAGAGAATTATCTCGTAAAAAAATAATGCAAAAATTTATTTATGAATTACATAGAAAGAATGACTAGCATTGTCATATTTCCCAAAAGTTGCAATGATGAAGATGTAACTTTAATAGATTATTTAACTTGAGATGTAACTTTAATAGTAACACAATGATGTTAATAGTAACAAAAGACATTAACAGTAACTTAATTTTACAAAAATGTTGAATGTTAATAAAAATTGTTATGCTCGATTATTAAATGTTTTTCAATTTTGCAGTAAATTAATAATTTCATGTGAAAATTACATACTTTAAAACCGGGGTTCCCAACCTTATGCTTGCGGGTACCATGGCGCCCGCCGATTATTTAACGTGTGCCTGCCGCTGTTGGATCACAATAAAAATGTTTCAGTTTTCAATAAAATTCTATGTGTAAGTTTTCTCATTTTGGTTGAATTTTTATGAAATTTCATAAAATTCTCATTCTTAATGAAATAGAAATTGCGTCCAACACAGATACCAGAACAAAGCGAGATGCAACCCATCTCTTTTATTATGTACATGTAATATTACATTATCCAATTATAAATTCACCTTGAAAAGTAAATGGTGTTCCGCCGTCCAACAGATATTTTAGAATGTGCTCTTAGTGATAAAAAGGTTGGGGACCCTGGTTTAAAAGTTATGGTTTAGGCCTGTCTTCCATTTCCATCTTAAATATGCATTTACAATTGACTCGCGCATCCCATTTGAACAAAGAACTGTCCGACAGCTCAATCAAAGACCTGATTACAGTTCTTTGTCTCAATGCATGATTCAATAGGATCTCTTAAGTTATGCAAGTTGTATCCTTGTTTCCTAAGAATCATGTTACATTTGGCTGCACAGCCTTTTGTTTAGAACACAAAAGAAAGCTGGAGGTCATGATGAAAGTACCACAACTGGCTAATCTTTACTGAATGGTACCCCTTGGTATTTTTTTCTGAAAAAATCAACAAGTGGTATTGGTTGTTCATGAAATCTGGAAGCCTGCTGTGCTTTTTCGTAATAGTAACCTTTCGTATGAACTCGGGTTTTTGGTTCTTACTATTCTTTTCAGCTACCGTGTTTACTTATACGTGCATGGTCTTGGATTTTGAGCTTACTATTATTTTGCTGTGAGTATCATCATTTGAGTATGTCTGAGGTGAGTAAGAGGATGAATGTTGATTAACAGCGGATGAGCAGAAATGGCGAAAAATTTAACTGAATTGCTTACTTGCAGGACGGAGGAGTTGGTGGTGGGAAACCTAAACGTATGCAAATGAAAAAAAGGTATATTAAAAAATTGATGTTTCATTTATTTATTCATGAGTGTGTGTCAATTTGTATTAAAAGATGTGTTGTTTAATGTTTTTATGTTAAGAAATATGCATTTTTGGTTATTTATTCCTCTGTGTTTGTGTATTTTTTGTTATTTGTTTGTCTCCGTGTGTTAAGACAGCAGTGAATTTTTTCTGGTCACCATGATGGTTTTAACTTTGTTTTAGCTTCCTGATTTTGTTTGAGTGAAAATAGATCAATGTGTACATGGACAAAATTAAGGCAATGCAAAATGCCTAGTTTGTCCAATTCCCTGATAGTGAAAATAGTTTAATGCCTATATGGAGTTTATGTAAGTCTTTGACTTCTTATTTTGATTTTGTGTAGCGGCCATCTTGGCGTCAAAAAGAAACGATTCGCCAAGGGGTACCATAGAGTTACACAGCAACCGAATTTTTACCCAGCAACCCAAAGGTGCTTTTTGTTCCTCTAACAGTCTAAACAGAATGAATTTACGAATTAATAAGTTTTCAGTTGAAAATTGCAGAAATTTAAGAATAAAGTTTAAAAAAATACAAAATATTTTCACTGCAATGTTTATCATATCTAATTTATACACATTATATTAAATAACATTAAGTGTGTAAGAAATTGCACAGAGCCAAAAAGTTTGTTCATTAGTAGTTCCAAGAGCTCATTAGTATAAGCCAAGTTTCATTGTATTGTGTTGCTGCAATTGTTTCCAGTGGATAGATCAATTAATACTGCTACATATCTGAAAGAATCATGATTATTATGATTATGAGAGAAATCTTGCTCAATTATGCTTTTATTTTAAAATAACTATTTAATTTTTCAGTTACTTCATATCATTTTAATTCTCTCAAAAGTATACTTCCATAACAATTTGAAAGGAATACATTAAAATCAGAATTATCTTCAAAAGATTTAATTTCATTGTATATTTTCCACACAAGAATGCACAGCTGCAATAGAAATCTAAATTTCTTTTCGAAATTAGTCTTTTTGCAGACCTTGCGATTTCTCTAAAATGTATATCTAGAAAGCACAACTGTTTGATTATTAAATATATTTCTAATCCCACAAAATCATCTCAATGACTATAATTAACCACAATAATAGAATTGGAAATATGGAACATCTTGTCATTTTATAAGCAATTTTTTCCCTCCACACATCTGACTATAGTCAAGAGGTATACAGTTATAACCTCGGCAAGGACACTGTTGATTTCTCATCCTTCTTGTTTTGAAAGAAATTCTAAATGCATTCTACAAGTACCAAATGTGGTATCACCACCTGGATTTGGTGACTGTGCCCACTCCTCTCTAACTCCCTTTTAAGTGGCCGAAAATGTAAAAAAAATTTCTCTCTTTACTCCATGTCTTCATGGTGTAATTGGAAGCACATTTGGCTGACAGTCAGAAAGTCAGAGCTTCAAATTCGGCAACATCATTCCTGATTTCTTTGGTACCGTGGCTTTAAAATAATTTCACAGTACTCTAAAAGTGACACATGAATTAAAATGTAATTGACAGCTTGTTATCACCCAGATTTAGCAACTGGGATTCTACCTCCTCAGTTGTAAAGGTTAAAGGGTTACGGGTTATTCAATTATGGCAAAGCACACGAGGGCTATCTGCCTAAAGGGAGGGATGCCTTCATGGAGGCCTTTCTAAGGGAAACTGGCTTGTATACATGTCATACATGGGGAAAACCCTGAAAACACCCATGCAGCCAGCCTGTTCGTGGGATTCGAACCTCGGATAGAACTACCAGTGTTCAGCGTCTTTATGCTCGGCCGCTGGTGGGCCCTGTCCTTTAAAGGGCAGAGAATGTAAATAATTTTCACCCTCCATACCATAAGCCTTGGTGGTATGATTGGAAACATGTTCGGCTAAGAATGGCAAATCCAAATTTGAATCCCAGCAAGGGTATTGCTCATTTTCTAAATTTTTCTGCTCTATTAAAAAAATAACGACCACAGCTTTTACTAACAACTATTAACACTCATTGCGTTAATTGAACTCAGCTTTACATGGGAAGAACAGAACCGGCATTAATTTATAGAAGCATTTTGACCATGTAAAAACCTATTGCCTGCTTCAGCAACTAGTAAAAAGGTATTAAAAATTTTTCATACCACTTAAAGTGCAAGTGAAAGCATTTTAATTTTTATGAAGCTGTAATAAACACTTTTACTGCATTTCATGGCTGCAAAAATAGTTTAATGTATATGAGTGTTATACAAAGTTCATTCATTTGAAAACACATTTTTAAGACAATATCAGCAGACAAAACTTTACATGTAAAATCAGTTAACTAAATAATCAATTAGAATATTTCGAACTCTTATTTACTTTAATTCCATCGGTTGAAATACGGCCTAACCCTAAGAGATTTCGAGAACGAGCAAGAAGTGATGAAAAGGAGTGAAAACTAAATCGAGTGAACATTTTGAAAATTTCCAAAAATTAAGAATTTCTTTCATTTAAATAAATAATTAATCACATTAAAACAACAGCACATTTCGCTTTCTTTTCTTACGATTATTTGCTACTTTGCTAGTCGCAGAAACACGCGACTTACACACAACACAACAAACAGAACACGAAGACCTAACCCAAAGAATCAAATTCTTTGCCTAACCTCCTTGACGAAGACATCTGAAAAGCAAAACTCTTGCGCTGCCAATTTGCTGAAGGGAAAAAAAAATTCCATTTAATTAAGAAGACTTAATGTATATTTATAATAATATTATATATCTCGGAACTTCCTTCAAGTGATTTACTAATAATGTAAAAATACAAAAATATATATACGATACATTCAATACTATTCTTAGACGCATTTTTTAGAAATGCGAAAGTTGAAAACAAAACACTAAAAAAATAGGTTTGTGCCAACCAATTAAAAAAGTACCCATTCATGCATTTTACGAAACTAAAATATTTGATTCGGCTTCGCCCCCCCCTTAAGCATTTCAACGGCATTTTATTTGTATGTTTGCCAACAGATGGCGGCAACTTTTGATGCTTTTTTTTTTTGGCTACTTTCCAATCGTTATCATTATTATTTCAGTATGATTCAGTCCACATTGTTTTTCTAGAAATTAAAGGTGTTGTGTTGATCACGTAATTGAACTCGCATTTTATTATCTAAAAATAGAGCGTAACTTTAAAACTTCTTGAGTGATATGACCTGAGATATTTGCCGAAAATAATAGGGGCCTTTATATATTAAGTTGTGCAGCGGAATTTATGTGCATCAGGTATTATAGTTTTCAGAGTTCTTTAAGTACCGCATTACGCAAATAATTCACTCCTTTTTTTGTTGATATTATGTATACTCTAATTTAATGTCGGTTTTCAGTGATATAAAGTTTTTGAAAATTGTCTGGAAAGATTCCATGTTTTTGATATGTTCCCTTGATTTGGCCTCTTTTGTGTACGTGACTACGTGATGATTTGCACGACCTTTGATGTTTATGGAATGAAATGTCATCGTAAGCGTTCATTAAGGTGCGCTGTTATTATTTCTTATCAAAGTATAAATAACTGTTATTAGAGATAATATTGCGAGTATTTAATTTCATTCAGTTTCCAAATACGTACTGTGTTTATTCGTAATATTAAAAAATCATTTTTATTCAGTTATATAAGTTGCTTTTGATTCCTTTTCAAAGTTTATTTATTGTAAGCTTTTAATTTCATGGATTATTTATGTTTAATTTCATTTACATAGATATAACTGGAGAAAGCAGTCAATGTTGAACTGAAGATAATTATGGCTTCCACTAGAAGTAAAGTAATTCACTTATACAAAAATGTAAGTAGAAATATTGTTATGTTTGCAGTCTGTTAATTTTGATTTTCATTCTTCTTACTGATATAGAAACAAATTTAGGCTATATGTTTTTTATTTACTTGAAAACACTTATTTTTATGATGTATTAAAATATAGCAGTTTTTATGCTAGTTTACTTACTTGAAGTCATGTGTACAAACATTATGAAATTGCTTTTACATAATACTATCAATTACAATTTTTTCACACTTTCTACAGCAAAAGAAAACAAGTGCGGTTTAATCCTAGTATCCAGTGCATAACGTATTTGGCTACTTTATGATCAGCAGTAAACGGGACATATACGATGAGTAGTTAAGTTAAACGGGTCATTTTGGTGTTGGCAATAATTTTCAAAATCGTGCCAGGGTTGCACCGTATACTAGAATTTTACCAACAAGTGCTAAATAAGTAAATTAAACTAATGCATTTCATTTTTTTTTTTTTTTAAATTTAGCACTCATGTTATTCTGTAATAGATCTATGAAATAGTTTCCGACTTTTCTTGATAATAATGCAATATAGTAAATTATAATGATATAGTTCTGCATTTGTTGGGTGGGCTTCATTAAAAAAAAAAAAAAAAAAAAAAACTTTTTATTTGTTTACTTTGACTGACATGCACATTTGACTGATATGCACATTTGTTTTTAAAAAACTGACTGATATGCACATTTGTTTTTAAAAAAGGCATTAATTAAATGGTTGATGCTAATGTACAAGTAACAGTAGCTTTTTTTAGAGGGGGGGATTATTCGTAGCAATATATCTACTCTTTGTGCTAACATTTGAATACCGTGTAGTTAAAAATTTGTTAATTTAGTTTAAAAAAAAAACTATTTGAAATAATGAATGTAATCACTTCCATTTGAAAAATAGTTATACTTTTTAATCATATATTTATCTTTGTATGTCAGGGAAGGGATTGATACATTCTGATTATCCATAATACCAATTTTAATATTTGATAGAATTCATGTTTGAGAGATATTTTTGAGACAACTAGTCACACAGATATTTGAACATTTATGAATTTACATGCTTTATATTTAACCATCTTTCCACTGCTGAGAAAATGTAAATATGAGCTCTCAAACAAGTAAGGAAGACTTGGACAGTTAGAGTAGACTGAAGGGTACCCCTTGTATTATCGCACAGTTGTTTCATTTATGGTAACCCGAGTAGTTGAATGTTCCATAAATATACTTTTTTACCTAGAAGTGGGTGCTCCTTTTTAAGTGAAAATAGGTCAACGGATAAAATCGCAATGCCTAGTTTGTGCAATTCTATGATGTTTTTTATAAGTGAAAATAGGTCATTGTGTACATGGATATTGAGTTTATGCAATTCTTTGACTTATTATTGTGTCTTTGTGTAGAAACGATTTTTGGAACTAAAATCGGCGCTACACAAAGCCAAAATAACAAGTCAAAGAATTGCACAAACTCGGTATCCGTGTACCGTCAAAAATCGCCAATTTTTGCCAAGGGGTACCTGTAAATATACTTTTACCCTTTCAGGTTAATAATTTTTATCACCTAGAACATTTGAAAAGCTAAAGAAACCAGTCATTAACTGCAGAAAATTGGCATAATTAATATAAATCTTTTTGCCAGTTTGCTCATGTGTCGGTTCTTATAGGTAATGATTTGTTTCTTTTGGGGATGGGAGCATGTTCTTTTGTAGTTACCTTCCAATCAAGATATATGAAATTTATTGTATGTTCCTTTCATAAAGGCTATAATTAATAAGTTGTTTCAAAACATCCTTATTTATAACAATTCTCATTATTGAAATAATATCAATTACCTGTTGTCAAACATTCAGCAGTCCTCCACTTACTCACAGTCTGCCTATCTGAAACAGAGCTTTGAGTACCAGTGCTACTTTGATGTAGTTCATAAGAGGGATAACAGGTTTAGAGTCTGCACATGACAAAAATTCTGAGAATGCAAGATACTTTGATGTTAAAAGCAACTGTAAAAACAACCACAAACTGTACGCAAAAATAAACAAGTTTGCTATGTAGGTTCTTTTTCTTAATTAAAGCTTGATGATATTTAAATACAGAAGTCATAATAATAAAACACTTTGCTTTAATAAACCGTTTGGGCAAAGGAGCTATAGAAAATTGGCTTTAAAAAAGTTAAAATTATACAATTTAAACTGTTTTTACCCAGAAAAGAGCTTCAAGAAAAATTTTTAGGGGATTGTACAAATATTTAATTTATATGATCAAATATCTTGAATTATAGTATTTCTATATATGGAATTTTAAAACCCATAAATTCTTTCTTTGGTATAAAAAGCTCCTTTTGGAAATTTGCATTTAAAATATGAAAAGCAAAGCTGTCGTTCCCACATTATGTACATAAACTTCAAAAATATAAATTAAGCCTGTGTTGAATAATTTTGATCATGCGAGAATGGACTTTTTATTGACTTACTTACATTGTCTCTGCAAGACATTTTTATCATCGACACTTTCGTATCAGGTTTATGTAAACATTTTTTACTGCAAACCTTTTGTAATTATTGTTATATTACGAACCATCTAAGAGATATTTAATCGTATAATCGTTTTTAAATATACTGTATGATTTCATTTATTTTTATTTTTGGTAGTTATAAAATTTTCTGATTGTTTTTAAAAATTTTATTTTATATATGTAAGCTGTAAAATATAATTTTAAGATTGATTAACTCTTATTGTTTCTTTAATAGCTTTTGTTCCTTGGAAAAGATTATCCAAAAGGCTTTGATTATTTCAAAGGACGTTTAAAAGAAGCTTTTATGAAAAACAAAGATGTTTCTGATGATGCTCAAATAGAGATTTTATTAGCTAAAGGCCAGTACGTTATAAAAGAACTTGAAGCATTGTATACATTAAAGAAATACAGAACTATGAAAAAAAGATATTATTCTGAATAATGTGTATTTTGGATATACAGTATTATATATATATATATTTATATGCAATATAAATTGCATGCTGTACAAAACTAACATTTGGAACAAAAATTTGTGTTCACATGTATAGTTAAGTAAGAATATTATACTTAAGTGTATTTATGTCCAGTATGATTTTGTTTTTATGCGAAAGTAACTAGATTAAGTACTTATTGTTTCATTTCAGTGTGCCTTAAGTTTTTAAATATGTAATTAAGTAAAATTAATTTTTTCTTTTACTGTCAACTATTCATAAATGTGAAATAAAATCAGATGCTCATATAACTCATGTAAAAATGTTCCTGATGTTGAAAGCAATTTTAGAAAATAAATATTTTGTATCTTTTGTAACAGCTTGAAATTAGTATTTTGCTTATATATTTGTTCTAATATTTTTAAATGTAGCATAAATACAGTTTTTATTTTCATCTGAATCTCTAGTTTTTGAGCAATGAGAAATTTAAAAACTTACTGCATACACAAAGACAACAACAAAAAAATTCTGTGATGTTTTTCCTTAATCATAAATTAAATAATTTTAAAACATTATATAGTGAAATTTTTATTGTCAATAGTTCTCTAAATGTGAATAATATTTAGAACACATAAATATCCATGACTACAACACTTAGAACACTAAAATAAATATTCATGTCTACTCTATCAAATGACCATTTCTTAATCATTCATTAAGGTATTTAATTTTGTATCGAACAAAAATATTTTACATTCTCTAAGCAAACCAAAACCTTAAGTAAACACTGGAAATGTAATTCCTAATGGTCAAAAACATGTTTCTCTGAATAGTTAATTCTAAACCTTTTTTTTTTTGTGTGTGTGTGTGTTGTATGGTATGCTTTATAAAAAAACTTATCACCTTCCTATTCTATTTATATGAATTTTCTGTTTTTATTATTTGTACAATCAATTATATGTATTTCTATTAACTATATATGTAGTTTTTATTTTTAATTAGTAATTTTAAGATTTTTTTATAAAACTAAATGCATTAAACATAGCATTTCTAGCCCAAAAGGGCAATTTGCCTAGAAAAGCTATTAATTTACTTTTCGCATTTTGCATCGATGCACTATAAATGGCAAATGACTTTTTAAATTGTTGCCTCCAAATGTTAGAGCTCTGCATTACATATAAAAAAATTAAATAATGAAGAATCTGCATAAATGTATGTTTCTCGCATTGCGATAAAACAATGGTACCTAGAGCCATCAAATTTTGAATAACGTATGTCTCCACCCAAATATGGGCATCAGGAAATCCAAATTTGGTTTATTATCTGTTTCATATTTTGTAAAGCATTCATGAGTTTTTCATTAAGAAACTCGACGATTTCAAAGCGAGCAATGGCAACACATGGGGGGGGGGAATCTCCAGTGCACGAGACTGTATTGGAAATTCTAAAGATATGCTTTTTTTTAAATATTTTTGATATTGATGTTGAATTTAATTTTATTGTTTAAGTGGAAAGACCATATTTAATAAAGGTAACACAAAAGACATTCCTTTGGGCATATTAGCTGAAAGTGGCTATTTGCCCAGAAGGGCTATAAATTTCGTTTTGGCATTTTGCATTGATTCACTATAAATAGCGAGTCAATTTTTAAATCATTAATCCAAAGGGGCAATATTTCCAAAAGGACTATTAATTTCATTTTGCAATGAAATGTCAGTTCACTTTTCAAATTGTTGCCACTAAATATTACAGCCCTGTATTATATTTAAAGATATTAAATAATTAAGAATCTGCATAAATGTAGGTATGGTTCTCGCATTGTGATAAAACGTTACCTAGAGTCATCAAATTTTAAATAACATGTTTCCACCCGATTATGGGCATCTGGAAGCTCAAATTTTGAATTTGTTTTATTATCTATTTCATATTGTGTAAAACTTCCAACGAATTTTTGATTAACAAACTCAACAATTTAAAAGCGAGCAATGGCTACACTGTATGGAAAAAGGGGGAATTTATCTACAGTGCACGCGATTGTGTATTGGAAATTCTAAAGATATGCTCATTTTAAAATTATTTTGCGATACTCATGTTGAGCTAAATTATTTAAATGCAAAGAACATGGTATTTAAGAAGTAAAGGTAGCACACAAAATGTTAAAAAAAGCTCCTTTGAGCTTAATGCAAAATCTGAAAGCTTTTAGGTTTTTATATTTTATGGTTTTAAAAAAAATTAATTATATAGGACGGCGGGTTGCCAAAAATTTTAGCAGTTTTGATATTTCTTGAATTTATTATAATAATTATACAATTACCCAATGTATTTTACCCAATTAATTTTTACCCAATGTATCTGAAAATAGATAAAGATAAGACAATACAGACAAAGGAAAAAATGAAAATGTTTCAACGCATTCTTTTTTATATATTATCCTCGCTGTATAATATATATAATAATATATATTATATAGCAAGGATAATATATAAAAAACTTTCATTATCCTTGCTTTGGACTTGACGCTGTCATATCATCTGGTACTTATTTAAAATTTTCACATTGTTCTATGTCTTAAAATTGGAAATTAAAGTTAATGACCTAAAACTGCAATAGTATATTACAGTACAAGTGAAAAAACTGACAGTTTCACTCACACGTGTGTCGGATTTGCACAATACTTATGGGGTCCCACAAAAATTTTCGCAAATTTTATGGGGTTCTGGGGGTTGCAAAAATATCTGATAAAAAGGGGTCGCGACTGAAAAAAGTTTAAGAAACCCTGATAACACGCCAAACAAATACTAATTCAGAAAGTGAAACAACAAATATCAGCGTTATTTTCAAATTTTCACAGGACTAGTTTCGATGGTTTTACCGAACCACCTTCGAAACTAGTCCTTTGAAAATATGACGCTGATTTTTGTTTGACTTCTGAATTAGTACCTGATATAGGATGTTAGTGAGAGAGTACAAATGGCACCAAAAATTATTTAAAGAAAAATGTTTAAAAACAAATTTTTCAGTAATGAAAAAGAAAGTTTTCACTTTGGCTTATGTTCAGAATGCTTGAAATAACGAAATCATTAAAATTTCTATATGAAGTAGAGTTATCATATCAATAGAAAAATTTAGATGCATTAATCAAGAAATTTATTTAATGCATATATTAAAGTATATGAAAGAAGTTATATATGGAGAAAAACAGCTTGTTCACCTGGATTCAAACTACCAGTATTCAATGATCTTAACTAACAAAGAAATAATCGAGTGACTGATTTGTACTACTAAATATTTCTATAGTCATATGCACTTCCTCGCAAAAATTCATGTTTATTGCAGATGTCATCAAACTTGACAACAGGTTCATTAGATCAATTGTGCTTAGATTTTTGAGAATGTGTAGTCTGAAATTTTATATTATAATCAAATATATAATGCTTTGATGAGCTGGAGCATGGGTTTTCTCTAGTATGTAGTGTGAATATTATCTAGCTTATCTTTCCTTCTGTGGCTGATAGACCTTACATGCTTTGCCATATCCAGTTAACGAACCAGCTACTAGTTTTACAGCAAAAAAGAAAATCTGAAAGGTTTCAGATTTTAAATTACGTCCAAAGAGGTTTTTTTTTAACTTTTTGTGTGTTACCTTTATTTATTAAATATCATGTTTTTCACACTTAAATCATAAAATTCAATTCAAGAGCAATATCGCAAAATAGTTTTAAATTGAGCATTATCTTTAGAATTTCCGACACAGTCTTGCGCGCTGGAGATTGTTTTTTCTGTACAACGCTGCCATTGCTTGCTTTTAAATCCTTGAGTTTGTTAATCAAAAATTCGTTAAAGTTTTACAAAATATGAAATTGATAATAAAACAAATTTCAAATTTGGGCATGCCCATATTTGCAGTAGAATACGTCATTCAAAATTCAATGGCTCTATGCACTGTTGTTTTATCACAATGCGAGAAATATATATACATGTATGCAGATTTTCATTATTTAATTCCTTCAAATGCAGGACTCTAACATTTGGTGGCAACAGTTTGAAAAGTGAAATGGACATTTATAGTGAATAATCGCAAAACGAAAATGATAGTCCTTCAGTAACAAAGCCCCTTTGAACTAAAATAAAATATATTGGAGGAAAGTGGTGAAGAATTTCCAGCCACACGTTATTTAGGAAATAATAAAGATAAATGATTTACTTTTGGAAGCACAAAATGTAAATTGGTTAAGGAATGTACTGGGAAATAGCAGTATTGCATAATTAGCCTTAATCTAGTATAGCAGTAAAAAAAGACATACAAGCTTTGATTTCATATTATCCACAATTTAGTGAAACAAGAGTTGAAGGAAAAGCAAATGATGCTTCAGACATCAGTCAAGAGTTCCATGTGAAAAATGAGTGTTTTACTACAAAAATTAAAGATGTGTTGACTACCAGTAATGTAATCAAATCTTGCACTAATTTACAACTGGTCATGCAATTTCAATTACTGCATTATGTGATTGGAAAAGGGAATGGAGTGATAAGTTTTAAAATGCAAATTTAACCTTGTGGATATTATGTATTTTTTTAAGAGAGAAATTGTAATCTGGGCTTTATATGGTTTTAAAAGAATATTGGGAAGTTTGAGTAAAGCGGATTAAGCTTTAGTGTTTAAAAAGTAGGTACTTTTCTGATAAAGAAGCACAAAACATAAACATTGGCATGAAATCTAACTAGATGGCAGTAACCCTAATTATGTGTAAAGCCTGATAAAAAGTTGACTTGTAAATAACAATAATGCATCATTTGATATATAAAGTTTAATGTGTACAATGCCAGTTTTGTGCAATCCTCTAATGTTTTGCACTTAAAAAAGTCAGAACTGCACAGCTATTCATGATGTGATCTAAAAAGGTTACACATTTGACAACTGGTGCTCTGTAGACAGTAAAGTACCAAAAAATATAAGCATTAATTAAAAAATGAGTATGGGCTATACTGATTGCACAATGCTTTTATACTTTCCCTGTAGCTTAATAATTAGAACTAAAGAATGAAGTAATAGAACTGTTAGTTTTTTCAATGTGATGCCATATGGAATAAAATATCCATTCTTATATTACACATCATCTGTTAATGCAAAATGCAATCACAAAAACTTATATTATTACGTATAAAGTTAGTACCTAAATAATTCATTTAAACAAATACATTTATAATAAGCAGTTAGTGACTGTGCTTAAAAAAAAAGAGGAAAATGTTGTTTCTGCATCTGATATATATTTTAGGTACTTCAGATCTTTAATTCATAAAAAGGTTTATATATTAAATACAAATAGTATATAGACACTGCATAGTCTTTACATGCAACTGGATACTAATTATTCTA